TTATAAAAGAACGTGGTGGCTATCGAGCATGGCTCATGTAAGTTAGCTACCTGCACCACTGTCTCATAATTATTTTAGAGATAGTGCTACAATATTCCATATATGTGCTTAGATATTTTGAAACATTGTTGCTAGTAGAACAGTGTTCAGTGCTTGAGCCTTTTCCACATCAATTTAATACATATTTGAATCAGGTAAAGTCAAAGCATCACTCTGTATAGTCATAGCCTGCTGTTAATTAAATCTGTCCTCAGCTGAATTAGATGAGGGTGATCTCAATCCAGTCTGGCTGCTTGGATTTGCTCATCAGTGCAACCTGGCACTCACACTTAAGCTGTGTATGGGCCTGGATTTCTTGCTACTGGTGGAGAAACAGAGGCAGAGCCAGCTTAACTCATTCAGTCCCAAGGTTTTTACAGAGGGTACATAAATTTTACTCCTTTTACAGCTCCATGACAAACGATATGCCATTTTCAGAAGGTGTCTTGGAAAGGTTAGTGAAAATATAAGTTTGGCGACACTTTATTTTGAGTGGTCCTTGGTCCTTTTTACATTAAAAACACTCAACAGATTCTCAGTAACATATCAATGATGTATCAGCAGTGACTACCTTTACTGGATTATCAAGAGACTTTTAATTAACTGCATAAATAAAAGTTGTTTACAGTCTGCTGAAAGTTGTTTTTCACTTTTTTTTTTTTTGAGTGTCCTAATTCACATCTGTAGATGTGAACCTCAGAGCTCACTCAACATGTACCAGGTATAATAAACCATCTCGACATCCTTAAAAAGCTGTTAGAGAGATGCTGCTGACACCATTCAGTCAGTTGACTTTAACTGGATCAGGTTTTGGTTAAGATTAGGATTAGGGCCAGGGTGAGGGTTAGGTTTTGAGTAAGGTTAGGTCTTGCTTAAAAGAAGTACCATATAAAGTCTACTTCATGTGACATGTTAACAATACAACTACTTAATGTAAGTAATATATAAACAGTATATCTTCAAGATCTTTACCTCAATGGCTGTGTTCACATGCAAGGATTTTTGCCAGTCCGGTTGAATACATTCTGATTTTCGGTTAAGAATGAGATGTTTATCTGCTCACTCTACTCAACAATCTGATGGAAAATGTTTGTTTATATGTGCACTAAAGTAATCCAATCCACAATTATGTGCATGCGTAGAAAACCACTTAGACAGCAGGCATCATGTGAGATGAGCAGCAGTGAGCAGTGCTTGTTTTTAATTACTTTAAAATGATGTCAGACTCAGGAAAACGAACTTCACATGTCCTTATTAAAGAAGGGCGAGAGGAAGACGTCATGCTCAGAGACACATAAGATGGACGCCCGTCCCACCGCTATTTTTTAAAAATCAGAGCAAAAACTTCGTCTCCTCTGCAGACCAGTTTCTGCTCCGCCATGTTGAATGTTATAAACGTTCGCTACGCCGCGACGCACATGCGCAGAACGTACTTAAAACTTTCCGATTGGGAATGTAATCAGATTCCAGCATTTACAGTTATTATTCTTCTATTTAACAGATTATTTACGCGACTACCCACCTTGATCAATCGTATAGAAATTGTATTTTGAATGGCCTCAATCGGACTAGTCTGTTCCGACTGAGGTGTGTACATGGACGCGTTCCATTCTGATTGAGCTATTCATCGGATTATTAGGTTGCATGTAAACATGGCTAATGTATTCAGATGGTGCACTACTGTTACTTCACTGATGTGTTACTGATATTCTGTTAGATTTTATTATCGTCTACAAAGGACCACTCCAGACATCACCAGGCGCTGGGTCTCTTCCCTGGTGGTGCTCTGCCTTTACTGCAGCGGTCCTCAGTTCCTGCTTGTTCTTAAAGTGTTTACCTTCAGTAAGAGAAGTATATGCTTGGTTGGACTGAGGTCTGGTGACTGACTCAACTTCTTTAAAACATTCCACTTCTCTGCCTTAAAAAGTATTGGGCAGCTTTCACAGTGTTGTCGTTGTCCATCTGCACTGTGAACCGCCATTTAATTTTGAAACACTGGGCTGAATCTGAGCAAATAATACAGGCATAAATATTTCAGAATTCATCCTGCTGCATTAGTCAGCAGTCACATCAACAAATAAATGGGAATCAGTTCCACTGGCAGCCACACATGCCCAAAACCATAAAACTACCTCCATCATGCTTAACAGATGAGGTGCTTTTCATTGGATCTTGAGCAGTTCTTTCCCTTTTCCAAACTCTTCTTGTTATTTTGGTACAAACTTATCTTTGTCTCATCAATCCATAAGATGTTGTTCCAGAACTGTGCATTTTCCATGTACAGGCTTTTTAAAAACAATTTCCAAAAAAACTCTGTACTTTGTCTGATGAAGTTTTCTCTTGACTGTTCACTTTGATACAGATATAGCTGCTTCCTGTGTTCTTGGTCTAGCCAACTGTTGTAAAGCATTTTTTCACCAGGGAAAGAATTCTGCCACCCACCACAGTTGTTTTCAGCGAGGAGGGGAAAAAAAAAAATCTTATTACGTAGGCTTCTTGACTGCTATGTAAGGCGCCCAGCACACACAATGTGTTTCTCCCATTCAAAACACTAAAGAAAAAGCACTACAGTACACAAAAATGCACAGTGTGAATCCTGCTTTAGAAGGTCCTATAACTGGATTTGAAAAGGTGCTAAAAATATGAGAGCAGAGTGGAAATATTTTATGGTATTCTGTGTTCAGAACAAGTGCACCTGTCTATGAAAAGAATCATTTAAAAATTACAATTTTGTGCAAAAAAAGAAATTACTGAGTGGCAGTTCTGACTAGGATTTCCCTGTTAGAGGTCTTACCTTATAAGAAAAAGAGAGCGAGAGCAAGAGAGGAGGAAATATGCTCAAGCGTAAGCAAGATGGGCGTACTCCCCTTCAGCGTCTCTCCATGGGGCTGTCAGGCCGTTAATTGATGAGTGGAACGCTTCCTCTCCTCCCTCGCGATCTCACGATTCATCCATCCTTCACTCTCTCTCTCTCTCTCTCTCTCTCTCTCTCAATGGGGGAGCATTATTGCGCTATAAGAGACACTTACACTTTATTATGAGATAATTATGGTGCATTAGGACAGTTTGGAGCTTAACTCTAAAACAGCACTTAAGCCCGAGCAGCCGTCTGGCTGTAATGACTCGTCATGTTGCTATGCGTTTTTAATTATGACAAGCGCCGAGACGACGGTGTGCCACTCCAAATAAACGAGTCCAATTAATTGCGGGCGCTGTCGCTTATCCGTCCCTCGTTGAACATTGGTGATTTATTGTCAAATTAGTGCCTGCCTGTCTCAGTGTAGAGAGAGAGGAGGAGAGAAAGAGAGAGACGGAGAGAGAGGGAGAGAGAAAGAGAGAGAGAGAGAGACGGAGAGAGGGAGAGAGACGGAGAGAGGGAGAGAGAGAGAGAGACGGAGAGAGGGAGAGGAGAGAGAGAGAGAGAGAGAGAGAGGAGAGAGAGAGAGAGAGAGAGAGAGAGAGAGAGAGAGAGAGATAGTGACAGCTGCAGTGCTGCAATGCTAACAGTGACAGGGTAACGGTGAGGCAAAGAGCAAGGCTGATGGGAGAGCTACTGCTCCTTGACACGGAACAGGTAGGCAGTTGTGTGTGGGTGTGTGGGTGTGTGTGTGTGTGTGAGTGTGTGTGAGTGTGTCTCCCTCTTTCTCACAGTTTTTCTGAGTGAGACAATTTCCACTGCTGGCCTGTCATTAAAGCACAGCTGTGGAACAGCACACATTCTGCTGCTGCCGTCTCGGAAAAGAACATGCAAACAAACAGAGGGATTATTCTTACATGTACCTGTTCAAGCAATCATTATGTTTGTTCCATAATGCATCAGCTTGGTTTTAATCACCAGATCAAGACCAAATCACGCTGTAATCTAGGAGTACATTTTCCACTCAAATATCCTCCAAAAAATAAAAAAACAAAATTAAATCCAAAACTGGGATCATATTGTGTTTCAAAACATGAATTTTCCTCACTTTTTTGGAAATAAGAGTTTGATGCAGCATGTAAACAAAAAAACAAAACAAAACAAAACAAAAAAAACATCTGTACTAAATGTATTTCACTCCATTCACTCCCCAGTCCATACAGTTCGTAAAAAGACACTAATGTAGCTTTGAATACGTTTCTGAGATTTGGACGTTTCTATCCACCCATTTAGCCTACAGCAGTTTAGCACACGAAACTGGTAAGTAGTTTTTCATCTTAAATAAGCTGGAAAAAAATTTTATTTTTTTTATAAAGTTATATTATTTTTTTTATAAAGTTATATAATTTATATGTTTCAGCTTTTTGAATGAGGCATGATACAGTGCAACCAATCGGAACAGAGCTCATTTACATTTACCAGTCTTAAAGATTTCATGTAGTATATAAACACTAAGGTTTCAGAAAGTTTCATTCAATACAAAGTCCAAATGGTCTATATATGGAAATTAAGCTGCACAAACAGCGAGCTTTAAATTCCTTGTTTCTGTGCCGTCATAAAAATCAGAGCATTTAAATATATCTGCCTGTTCAGCCCACTGCAGTTTAGTCCCACCCATTTAAGCTTAAGTTAAAAGGATTTTTTTTGGCTGTAATGTTGCACAATGCAGCCATTCAGAGCACAGGACATTTACATATATCAGTCTTAAGGGCACTGGTCTCTGGTACATAAACCCATAAAAACATGATAAAGGAAAAAAATAAGATACAAGAAAAATGTAGGTTACAGGCCCTTTAAAGGCACAGGTACAAAAACGGCCTGTTTAATTCTAAGGGACAAATAGGGGTTGGAAAATGGTCATGTAAAAATGAATTATGTTTTTGGCATGTAATCTCACAAAAACGCAAGTGGACCTCAAGGGGAAAAAAAAAATGCAAAAACAAAGTAAGACATGGGCCCTTTAAAGGAGAATCAGGGGCATGGCACACAGGATAATAAACCCATTAAATTGGTTTGGCTTTTGCTGAAATGAAAACAAGAACGGTTTAGCTACTGCACATTTTATTGGGATTAGACTTTCTTATAAAATCACTTTGTAAAGGTCTTAAAAAAGGTTACAGATAAAAAGTTCTCTTAGGCAGCATTCTGGAGAATGATAGACTAGAGCACAAGTCTTCAAACCCAGACCTTGTACCCAGTTTCTGGATTTTGTGATCGCCTGTAGGTATATCACAAGGTGACCAATCAGTTACGTTACAAAATTCAGGAGCAGAAACTGGACTCAAGGTCTGGATGTTAAGACCTCTGAGAGTAAAGGGGAAAACCAGAGGCTACTGTAGGCATTGCTGGTGGACTACTTGTACAGGGAAAGGACAAGACATGTACACCAAAACATCTCTTAGCCTCACTGTAAGTTTAACAGTACCCCATATGTTTGGTCACCATTATCATTACATCACACTAAAACCACAGCAGTTAGTATGAGGTGAGGGTGATTAGTAGACTAATTAAATCAAATATCTGCTTATGCTGTGTGCATCTTCACAGTTAAAGAACTTGGCACTACTTGCAACCTCCCTCTGCCATTTCCCCACGTAATCTATAACTCCAGTTACTCTGTAATACATCAATGACCTCCATCATAAGCTCTGTGCTTATAATTACACTATAAACGTTAGACACACGTGTGCGTTTAGTCTTTCTATATAAATAGGAATTAATGTTTTTCCCTCTAAACTGAAAGCAGCAGTAGTTAGGGTGAAAAAGAAAATAATCTATGCTGAGGCATAAAGAGATTCATGATAGATATTTGTTCCGCAATTACACATTAAGACATGAGAGATGAAAAATGATCTGTAAACATTGAATGCCAGGGCAGTGCAACGATCTGTCAGGATTTTTTGCTCGAGTGCCTGGTCTTAGACATGGTTAGCTGTTAGTCTAGCTGCAGTCTCAGCTAGGATTAATACTACCATAGACAGAGTTGCCCAAACTGTATTTCACAAGCTGGATTTTGCCACTGAACAGCTTTTGTTTGGCAAGTCCAACATTTAGTTTCAGCTTTTAACTTGCCCTGTGACTAACCATGCCAAACCACAATATTTGGAATTCCTGATCTAACCCGTCATACACTTCACCTCTTTCTGTTAGAGCCACTCTGAAAGTGAGCCTGCTGGCACTAGAGCAGATTCCAAGAGGAGCCCTCTGAAGCATTAAGAAAACTTTCAGCATGCAAAACAGTGTATTTGCACTATTGGTCTTTTAAAGACTACCAATCTATAATGCATTTGAGAAAAGACAAAAAAGGAACAAAAAACATTTTTCATTGATTCAGCAAAATTCTGCCCAGTGACCACTTATCACCTCCACAGTATTTTGCAAAATTTCACTGTCAATGTTTAACAACACGTTTGAACAAAGGCTAAAAACAGAAACTAAAAAGACTGTCTGAAAACTGTCTGAATACTGTCTGAATACTGACCACCTTGTTTACTTTGTTCATTTTCCTGACGAAAGCCACAAGGCTCCTAGATAGGTGTGTGGATTCACTCCTGTCTCTCTCTCTCTGCCTGTCTCTGAGCTGGGTTAGTGGTCAGGGAAGCCTGGCATAGGGAAGGGTCGAGCGAAAGCCTCTACACGGTAGCGCAGGTCTGCGATGCGTGCCACTGTCTCCGGGTCCTCCAGCAGGAAGCTCTTAAACTCCGCCAGCTTTTCTGCACGGTGTCAAACAGAGGGACGAGAGGAGAAGTGGAGAAAAGAGAGGGGGTGAGAAATACAAGACTCTACTGTCTACCATTGTAATCAGGTCATTGCAATGCATCAGAATGCATCCCCTGGATGAGGATGGTCCTCCCTCTCCCCTTATCGCTTAGCGCGCAAACTAGCATGGGCGTCTGCTAGATCAGTGTTTCTCGACTCCAGTCCTGGAGGCCCACTTTTTATTGTTTTCCCTGCTCCTAAAACACCTGATCCAAAAAATCAGCTCATTACCAGCCCATTATTGAGTTAAAGTGGCTGTGTTAAAGCAGGAAAAGCACACAAATGTGCAGGGCAGTGGCCCTCCAGGGCCAAGGCTGAGAAACACTGTTAGATGATGTAACAGAACTGATAGTTAGTGTTCTCCTCCACGCTGCATTAGTGGCAGTTCGAAAAGATGTGGTGGAGCTTCATGTGACCCAGAGGAAGCACATGCTAGCCTTTACCCTCCCAGTGTTTGCAGCAGTGTATAAGGGGGTAAATAGAGGGAATTGGAAATGACTAAAGTGCAGAGAAGACTGGGCAAAAAAAATAACCCCAAAACCACATAATCAAGTCTATTTGAGATCATGTAACTATTTTGAGGTAGGTGTGCCTCAAAAACTATTTTTTTACATTACCCTCACAACTCCAGTGAAAAAACTAAAGAAGCAAACTTTAGTTTAAACATATCAAGACTCCTCATACACAGTTGGAATATGAAGAAACTTCTGAGGGTTTTGTCAACTCACTGGTCTTTTTCTTGACATCCAGAGCAATTTTGAAGCCTTCGTCCAAGAATTCCACAACCTGCTCAAAGTCTGCTTCCTTAAACTGGCGAGACGTTAGTGCAGGGGCACCTGGGACACAACAGAAGCCAATGAGATCAAACTGAATGGCACAGTTTAACAGTAGTATGACTGTTAGGAATACAGCAAGAGTATTAGAAGCGAGGATAGTGATTTTGTGTGTTACTAACCCAGTCGGAGGCCTCCTGGTGTAAGGGCGCTCTTGTCCCCTGGGCAGGTATTTTTGTTGGCAGTGATTGAGGCAAGCTCCAAGACCCTCTCTGCTCGAGCCCCATCCATTCCCTGTGGCCTTAAATCTACCAGAACCAGGTGATTATCAGTCCCACCTGAGACAAAGAGACAGAGACTTTTAATAAATTTAACAATAATATTTAACAGTAATAATAAAAATAAAAGCAGAGTGTACTTTTAAGACTCCACATTATATCTCCAAAATCGTTTACAGGAGAGAGAAAAAAAAAAACAGAAAAAACATTCTTCATAAAAACAATACGTTACTCCAGATAATTTGGGTCATTCCTACTGAGCCATTCACACAATGTAAAGGGCAGCTGGCACTTACAAATTATTCAAAATAAATAAATAAATTTAAAAAAATGACAAAACTGGAGATACTAGATTTTGTTGACTGCGACAGAAGACTACACAGATAAAAACATATGCATATTTATCTTTGTAATTGCAGAAGGCTGTAATAAATATCAAAATCTTCAAGGCAAGTTTTTTGTTCATTTTGATACATTAAGTCACCCAACAAAGATAATTTCAATCAAAATAGTGAAAAATAAAGTAGGCTGACATTTAAACACATCACATCAAGGGATCATAGATAGTCCCAAGGTATAAATTTGAAGGTATGTTGCAGTATCACTGTAAAGTTGTATTTGGTACCCATCAAGTAGATTTCACACAGCCATAACTCATTACTCTTTGAGCAATCTAACACTTCAACAAAGAAGTGAAGAAAGACAGATAGAAGGTATAAAAGAAAAACATAAGGAAGCACTCACAGGTTATCCTGAAGGTTAAACAATGAATCTGTGTGCATGTCCTGGGTGAGCTGTGTTCGTATGTTTACCTGACACAAGAGTGTATCCTTTCTTCAGCAATGCATTGGCCATGGCTTTAGCATTCTTCATCACCTGTGCAATATACTCTTTGAACATCGGGGTGTTGGCCTGAGTAAACAAAGAAAATTAGAACAGAAGAAAAAAATAAAGGAAGGCCAGTTCTGCTGTACTGTATTTACTGCAGTGTACAGAGTGTATTCTTTGCTTTGTATCCATTGCATCACACTTATTTGCTGGAAAAGAGCGGAAATCAGTTCCACGAATGAAATACAAATTATTAAGATGTAACCTCAGTTTGGATTGGTTTTACCAGATGACCTCAGAGGTTTGGCAAAATACAGCAGGCAGTTATTACCTAGATGGAAGCTGCTGAATTCAAGTCTGAATGACTCTGATAACTGTGCTCTAACTAGACCTGTCACAATTATTACATAAACGCCCAATCGCAATTATTTGAGATAATAGCAGTTATTTGATATGATCGCAATTATTTAAGCTGACTGCATTCATTTTCCACAGTCATTACATTTCACAATAATAAAAATGTGAATTGGTTGAGGTGGATTGATGCAAACAAATGTAAATATAAGAAATTAGTAAATACACATATTAAATATAGTAAGCAAGTAAGGTGAATGCACAACTTGTGGAACTAATAAGTATCATATGTCAGTGAAAATTACAGTGGCTGTATTCATACAGGATTAAAATGTTAATTGGCAAAAGCAGTTATTGCTTTACTGGGTAACATTCACCTAGGTCACTAAGTCTTAGGTACTCACACAGGACTAACCTCAGAATACCTGCAATACTTGCACTGACAGTATATTAACTGAGGACTACAGTAATTTTAATCTCATGTTAATAATGCTAACATCACTTTATTTCGTGTTATACAACACCATTCAAAGTTTTGGAATCATGTGTCATATTAATTGCTGTTATTTTATTTAATAAAAACCAGTGTAGATTGAAATAATGTAAGCTAAACATGAGAAGTTATTTTAAGATGTTTCATTTAATGTTCAGGTCTCTTAGGAAGATTTAAAATATCATTAAACGATAAATGTCTTGAGTTTTCTACCTTGAGATTTGATGACCACTTTTCAGATACAAAGCTTCCTGAATGTTAATTTTATTATGGAATTATCTACAGCTCTGTTCCTCATTCTGGACATATCTATTTCATTTTTACTGCTTCCTAATAATCGGTTGAAACCTGTAAACTTGTGGAGTAGAAGCCTCTCAATTAAATCGTTACACATATATACACCTGCAACAAAATTGGTTTTACAGTATTTAAACACTGATTACACCTTTTGGAACCTAAGTGTATACACCGATCAGGCATAACATTATGACCACCTCCTTGTTTCTACGCTCATTGTCCATTTTTATCAGCTCCACTTACTATATAGGTGCACTTTGTAATTCTACAATTACAGACTGTAGTCCATCTGTTTCTCTGCATACTTTGCTAGCCCCCTTTTACCCTGTTCTTCAGTGGTCAGGAGCCCCATGGACCCTCACAGAGCAGGTTTGGTGTGTTGGGCTGTCACTGCTGGACTGAGAACAGTCCACCAACCAAAAATATCCAGGCAACAGTGTCCTGTGGGCAGCGTCCTGTGACCACTGATGAAGGATTAGAGGATGACCAACACAAACTGTGTAGCAGATGAGCTATCGTCTCTGACTTTACATCTACAAGGTGGACCAACAAGGTAGGAGTGTCTAATAGAGTGGACAGTAAGTGGACACAGTGTTTAAAAACTCTGGCAGCACTGCTGTGTCTGATCCACTCGTACTAGCGCAACACACACTAACACACCACCACCATGTCAGTGTTACTGCAGTGCTGAGAATGATTCACTACCCAAATAGTACCTGCTCTGTGAGGGTCCATGGGGGTCCGGACCACTGAAGAACAGGGTAAAAGGGGGCTAACAAAGTATGCAGAGAAACAGATGGACTACAGTCTGTAATTGTAGAACTACAAAGTGCACCTATATAGTAAGTGGAGCTGATAAAATGGACAATGAGCGTAGAAACAAGGAGGTGGACATAATGTTATGCCTGATCGGTGTACGTACATTAACAATTTTACAAAAAAAACAGGTGAATAATAGAGGGGCAAAAGTTGCTAAAGAAGAAATACGAGGTTTGGTTGGGTTGGTATGTTCGGAGTATACCTGTCTGAGAGCTACAGCGACCCCAGCAATGGCATGATTGTGGGGTCCGCCCTGGAGAGAGGGGAAGACTGAGAAGTTGACCTTGTCTTCGAGGTCATACTTAACTTCAGCACCTTTCTTATCCACTGAGCGCACGCCTTTACGAAAGAATATCAGCCCAGCTCTGCGAGGAGAAAAAGGTCATTTGAAAATTACCAAATGAAGCGCTTGGTTTTTACTCAGTTGTTCCAAGTTCAAAAACTGAACTTCACCTGAGCTGAAATCCAATTAACACCTAATGTGTTGAGGATATTTAACTTAATGAATTAGTTAATTAACTAGATGGAAATAAATCTTGTTTATCAGTCCTGTGCTGCAAAGCTTAGTGTGCTCATTCACTCGTTACATAGTAACGCTCTTCACAGTCACATGCACTCACTCTCACACTCTCTTACCTGGCTCCTCTGAGGGATTTGTGTGTGGTTGTGGTGACAAGGTCAGCGTGCTCAAATGGAGAGGGAATAGCTTTAGCAGCCACAAGGCCACTAATGTGGGCCATGTCTGCCAGCATATACGCATTTAACTCTGTACACAGCTAGAGGGAGAAAGAGGGAGAAAGAGAGGGAGAGACTTTGAATAAACACCCCTGTTTTTAATAAAAATGAACACATATTAAGAGTACTTCAAAAAATTAAACTGCGGAGGGACAGAAAGACAGAGAGAGAGAGAGAGAGACAGAGCGAAAGAGAGAGAGAGAGCACGGAAGCGAAAAAGAGGTCCAGTGCATTTACATATATCGTGGGTAAGCAGATACTAAGTGGACAGTGTTACGTACAGATGTGAATGGAGTCCACTGCATCTCAGAGACAAGTTGTGATCAGATCACTCAAATCACGTTCAGAGGTGATCAGGGATGCATATGACCACATAACATTCCTGAAGCAGGAATGCTAAAATGCCCTGATGTGTCTCTGACAGCAACAAAATATTACCTAATCAACTGTGCATTCAAAGCAGAGACGAAAGCAGCAGCATGGCTTCTTTATTCATCTCCTTTCGTTTGTTTGTGTTAGCAGACCATGAGATCTAAATATCTGTAACAGCCCTTACATTTACATGAACTAGGACAGTTTTTCTTACAAACACAACAGGACAGTGGAGTGGTAAATGTGCTTCCCACCCTTCATCCAGTCACGGAATCCAACAAAGGCCCTTGGAAAGACCAGTTTTAAACAGCAATAAAGCCCTGTGCAAAGATTTCAGCAGCCCAATTATGTTTTGTTGATTTTCTACCTGTAAATAAGATAAGACATTCTCTACAGAGAACAAACGGCTGCTCATTTTAATGCACAATTGCTGCTTGCTTGCTGATTTTAAGATATTGGAAAAAAATAAATTATCAAATTATCGAACACTTAATCGGTTTTATTTTTTCCAATATGTTAAACCCAGCAAATAAACAGAAACTGTGCTCTGTTTATTTGCAGACAAATTACATCTTTGAAAAAAATCTTATTTTCACATAGATAAACAAACCATCATTGGAGGGATCCCCAAACTTTTGCACACAACTGTATGTCTCATTGTCCACTTATGATCGGATCACTTGAGGCTGACATTAATACCAGGTGAGGACAGTGTCAGAGAGAGAGGGATATATAGAGAGAGAAATATTATATATATATATATATATATATATATATATATATATATATATATATATATATATATATAGCTAAAGCTGAATAATATGCCCTCACAAAAACACTCAAACACTTTCGAGGGAAAATACAGTCCTCACATACAGTTTAGAAAGTGACACATCACTGCACATCACTGGAAGAGATACAAAAGTTCCTTTCCAACTGATTATCAACTGATAATTTCATGCAAGAGTGCTTAATATGCATAATCTGTGTGTGTGTGCTGCTGATCTGGTGTTTATCGAGCAGTAAAATCAGGCCACACTGAGTCCCGGCAACAAACACAAAACACACAATCTGGCCCTGCAGGAACAGAGAGGATAAAGATCCATGAAAGAGAGAGGGGAAGAGAGAAGAGGATGAAAGGAAAGGAGGAAGACGCAGAGAGGGAGACCAAGAGAGCGAGAGGGAGAGAGAGCGAGACAAAACGAGAGCGAGCGAGAGAGAGGAGTAGCCCCAGGAAAGCTGGAGCAGGTCCCAGTTAAGAAAAGCCCACCAAACTCTTTTAGAAGAGTAGCAAAAAGAGGGCAGAAAGCACAGGAAGCTGTGCATAAAATCAGTGCATGCCACTCAGCCTGATATCAGAAACTGTGTTCATTCATGCATATTATTTATTTGTTAAAAACAACACTAAGCCTTGTGATTCACTTGGCAGAATGAGAATACTGTATAGAGGCTAAATTAACTGATTGCAGCACTGTTCTGCCTGTCTACAAGGGAGGTATAGATCAGACGAACCAGTGTTGCTCCACTATGTGCTAAACATGTTCTTTTGCCACCGTCTAGTGAATAAATACTGGAGAAAAGTGGAGAAAGTACAGCAGCTTGTTTGCAGAGACGGTAATCGGACACGCAGCTTTTCATCATAGCATACATCATAGCATTTCATGAAACGGAGAGACAGCTTGCACACGAAGTAACCAACAATTTTGACCCATACTTGCAAAGGCATTGTGCATAATGTAAAGATATGTATTAACACTATTGGAAATGTAGTTTTTTTTATATGTGCAGTGGTAAATTCTTTGACAGACAGATTCTGTTCATTTAGTAAACTAGCTGTACCTTATGCACCTTAAGTGAGATAGTAAAGTATACAGACTCAGGGTTGCTGCACAAATTTTAAAATGAATATAATTTTTTTTTAAATACACTTTTAAGATCTCAACAACAAATAATACTAATGCCACCACACAGTGCCATGCAAACTCAAATATGACATGAATTAATGACTATGATTTATTTATTTTTTTTAAATAAACTGGTTGAGAACCAAGCATTGCTATATATACTCTGAGATACAGTACACGCATGACGTAGCTCGGCAGCCCTATCAAGCTCCACTACCTGCGCTTTCTTTTACTTTCTATTTAGCATATCTGATTATCAGTTTTGCTGTCTTCTAGTTAGGGGTGCAGGCAAAAAATCGATTCTTAGATGCATCGCGATGTGGACGTGAACGATTCTGAATCGATTCACAAATGTCAAAAATCGATTTTCTAAATATTTCATTTATACCGTAATGTTGACGGAACGTAAAAGGCGGAACTTGGAAGTGGGTAACTGCGGCGCCCGGACAGTCTGTGGCGGCACATAACAAAAACACACATGGATGAGTGAGAAATCCGACCGGCTCCCTCTGCATTAAAGCCAGGTTAGGTCAGGAGTCACAACTCAAATGATAAGAAGAGCCATTTTGTCCTTTCAACAAAAATCAAACCACATTGGGAGCCACAACATTTAATGTCCAGTATGTCTCAGTATGTGCGACGTCCTAGTATAAGTTAGGTTAAACATATAGCTTAAATGAAAACGTGGATTTACTTTGCTAAGCTTAGCTGTAGCCGCTTTCCTTCCATCTCCGCCAGAAAACTTTTCCTCTAAAATAGATCAGTTTCTTGTAAAACGTCTCTCAAAGTTCAGCTGTTTTACGAGGCTGAAGTCGCTTCTTGAAGTCACTCCAGCTTCTTGTTCGAATTTTCCCATTCCACCGTAAATTCTAACTGAGGCGCCGAATGTAAATGCGGCACCATTTAAGGTGGAACGGGAAAACTTGAAAGAGAATAGACTTCATCTTCGCAACTTTTGTTTTGACAGTCTCTCATTGCAGATTTAGCTTGCCAGGAAACCAACAGCAGTACTTATGAATGCGAATAACGCATCATTGCTAGGTGACCTGCACGCCAGTTCTCAGTCGTTGCGAAACAGGGCTATCACGCTATGTTGCACGCGTCCCATTTCGAAGATATTTTACTGACACAGCGACCCCCCATCACACTCTCTACAACGAGACCAAAATCGTTATAAAATCACTAAAAAAATGGGCAGGGCGGCTGTAACGTGCTGCTGGACATCCATTACCACTGGATCTTATTTCACCCTAACTGCGCATTTTATTGCAGATGAGTAGCAGCAGCGTCTCATGTGCTCCAAGCAATAGCAGTGAATGAAAGCCTTCTAGTTCACTTGCCACATCACTTTTATTTGATTTATTCATAAAAGATATTGGAAGTAAATTCATTATAGATCATTACAAATACTTTGCTTTAAAACTACCAAGTCCTTACACAGTAAGAAAATAGAAATCCTGTATAGAAAAAAAGACGTATCGAGATGCACCGATAATCGTTTTATAATCAGCCCTCTGAATCGTAATCAAATCGAATCGTGAGGTGCCTAAAGATTCCTACCCCTTTCCTAAGATTTCTGGCCCTTCATCAAATGCTCAGTTTCTGCCCACATGACTTCTCTTAGCTGGATATTTTTGTTTGACGGACGGTTCTGAAATACTGTATACATAATGCCACTTTTCGACGCAGTCTTTAGGCATTAGTTTAGAATGTAATACCTCTAATAGTAAGACATTTAAAGACTTTTTTAACTTTTTAAGGATCTATAGGAACCCTGGGAAAATGATAACTGATTTGAGCTTAACCTCTTAAACTACAGAATTATTATTCAGTTATTAATCTTGAAACTTTTCATTCTTTAATCACTATGAATGATTCAGTAATTAGCATGAATTATTCAGGGAATATTATGAAACTGATATGTAGCTAATGTAGTTATAAGAGGGAGGAATTAAAGTGCTCTATCTATTAAAAGGAAAGTCCACAGATTTTTCTAAATTTGTTTATAAATCATATTGTTAAGATGTAAACAAAGTCATTCAAAGTGATTTGATGTGATATGTGGCATTCTGGAGAAACTTACTGAGTCCTCCAAAAGCTCCCTCACAGAAAGTTATTACATGAAGTGTTTATGAATAAGTTGCCTGATGCTTGAGACATTGTTTAACAATTTTGGCCTAAAACATTTTTTATTTTTTTTTATTTTAGTTCATTCATTGCAGAGAGATCAATGCAGGGTGCGGCAGAAAAGAAGTACATATTTTTCACATTTACTACAATTTTACTATCAACACTAAATTAAAAACTCAGAGGACATATGTAGGTTCAGTAGTGGAAAAAACGTGTATGATAGTACGAGCCTGTCTCTTTACAGTCAAACAATTCATATCAAATTAAATGACTGTTTAGATCTCAATAATTTATTTCATAATTTCCCTAGAGGTTAATGGAAAATGATTTTGTTTAGATTTATAAGATAAAGAAGGCAGTTGGGCACATGTTTTTTGAATAAAATATTTTTTTTTAAACAAAAAAGCTAACCAGTGTACAAGACAATAAACAAAAGTATGGCATAATTTTAACAGTAACATTGTGAGATGAACGTAAGTGCTTCAAAAAGAAAGAAAAAAAAAATCAAAGTAAACAATGACCTAATTCTACCACTCAGGCATGGGAAACCTTTCTTCACTATCCAAAAGCAAAATGAATCATATTTTCATTAATGCTGCTGCTATGATATTTTTGGCATTACGCTGAAAATAAACTAGTGCGACAGCCCAACGTAGTTTTGTTATTAGCAGCTGCGAACTCTAATAATGTTCACATCTCATTTTATAAACACAAAAACTGCTTAGTTATGGTAAAAAATGTGTGTGTGAACATGGACGAGGCAGAGCGGGTGCGAGGAGCAAGTCTCACACAGACCTATTCCAGTGAGGAAACACAACACATGGCACAGTGCTAAAAACATCCTACTGATGCAGACAGAATAAGACCAGCAGAGCACATGTCTGTGTGAGTGCGTGAGAGACAGAATGAGAAAGAAGAGTGTGTGTGTGGGGAGGAGGGAGGGAGAGAGAGACGGGGGGGTGATGTGTGTGTGTCTGTGAGGAAGTGGCAGAGAGCATCTGTGTGACAAACAATGTGAGAGGAGAGTAAAAAAAGTGCTAAAATCCAGGAGTGTCAAGAATGCGCAATTTAACAAAATGTGTGTCTGGTCTGTGTGGGAGAGAAAGAGATACGGGGAGAGAGAATAAAGAGAGAGAATAAGGAGAGATAGAGAGAGAGAGAGAGAGAGAGAGAGAGAGAGAGAGAGAGAGAGAGAGAGAGAGCGAGCTAATGTAATAATAATAAAAATAAAAGAGGGTATGTTAGAGCAAACAGAAATATAGAATGAGAAAATGAGAAAAAAGGAAAAAGACAAAGGGGGACAGGTGGAGAGGGATAAAATAAGAGAGTGTGAGATAGTGGGTGAAAGCGAGGTGTGTGGCACCTTCTTGATGCGGGCGTAGTCGATGAGTCGGGCGTAGGCGCTGGTGCCAGCGATGATCAGCTTAGGCCGAAACAGCTTTGCAGTCTTCTCCATCTGGTCATAGTCTATTAGGCCTGTTTGAGGCTAGGAAAGAAGGAAAAAAAGAAAGAACGAGAGAGGGAGGTATGTTATTTTTAATGTAAATGCCAAAATAAGTAAGTAAAATTCAATTTAAATTTGTAAAAAAAAATTTACTTCTGGTGCTAAACACACAAATAAATTCTGATGTTGTGCAAATTCTCTTAAAAAAAAAACAAAAAAACAAATAAATAAAAAACACCTGACCCCCCCCAAAAAAAAACAAAAAAAAAGAAAATGTGCTTTACCACACCTTTAAATGTCACAGCTAAGGGCATCGCAAATGATTTAAACGATCACAATAAGACATGATCAAGGCCATATTAACCGATGAGTATCAGCTATATTAAGCCCAAGCAAATTATGATAATTTCTTCAGACAACTTTACCCCACTGCACCCCATTAACACTACTGTCATTGAGGTGACATCGACGGATATAATCCACAACTCGAGACATCATCGTATGTTTTCAGAAGTTAACAAGCTGTATGAATGCCTACAGAATGGAACTATTTCCAAGTAGAAACAGACACTTATTATATTTGCAATGCCAGTGTTCTGACTGTAGTTAAGCTAGATGCCTTTCCACAAAACACAGTTAAACTAACCACACATAAAACTGGCTCTACATCCCTACATTTTGCAGTAGGGATGTAGAGCCATTTATACAAGCCCAGTAAAACGAATAAAACACAACATTTTGGCATTGTAGCCCATCATCAGCTAAATGATCTGATCTTCTGGAGTACAACAAATACATCCTCAAATATCGGTCAAAACTAACCATCAGTAAGTTGTTTTTTTTTTTTGTTTTTTTTAAAGCAATTATCTGACGATACCTATTTAGTGGTATATTTCATCCTTAAATATGAAAATATGGGTCCAGATCAAAAAAGGCCTTTCAAAAAGGCAGCCCAAAAAACAACTTCTCAGCTCAGAGTGTCACACTATGCACACTCCAATGACTAAGATTTGGGTTTGGAATTCAGGTTCCAGACTTTAATTCATGGGCAACTGCCTTCTGAGGCACAATTATCCAGCCTCTCCCTAAAGACACTAAAGACAGTATTGTATATGTGCTTCTCTGCAGAGAAATCTGTGCTTTTAAATGACATTTTCTTAGTCAGCACAAACTGTCAAACGCTGCGTTCCGCTGTCATGTTAGAGTTGTTGCTTAGTAACTTTGATTCCTGCTGCTATGGCATTAATGAAGTTTTTTTTACCCTGTTGCTGTCCTTAAAGCTGTCACCGGTAAAGTCTACTGCAGTGAAGACGGCAAACAGCAGGGAAGGCGAAGTAGCAATTGAACACAAAATGGTGCTCTTCATTACAATGTAGCTGTATGGCACGCAGACTGGTGCAAAACAGGCTACTGGCTAAAGATGAACTGAAACTGCACTCATTCCCAAAAACAACAGTCCCCATATGCACATGCAATGCAATGGTGGGGAGAAGCAGTCACTACATAAAAATTTGAAATAGGTCCCTAAAATTGTCCCAGTATAAAAACAAATGTGATCTGAATGCTTCAATGTTTCAAGAACTGCTCTAGCTATGTGTAAATTTAACATTGCAAAAAATGTTATACTGGTTTTGCAGCTTAGTTTTACATATATTGAAGCCTCAACAACTAAATGTGACATTTTTCCACTGTTCAGCGTGTCCACTCTGTTTTTAGAGCTTTTATTATTCCAGGACATTATTCAGTTTTTCAGAGAAATCTGCAGGGATATTTTTCCATGCTACTAGTAAAGACCTTCGAAGGTCAGTCTTAGAAGTTGGTTGCATTTTCTGCTTCTCACAATCCAAGAGATGCCAAACACATTCAACGACTCTGGGGTGGTCAGCCCATTGTGCGGAGAATTCCAGCAGCTTCTTTGTCTGATCTGCAAATGCTCTTCTTTTTTGTCTATTACCTTTTCTTAGTAAGGGCTTCTTGACAGCTACACATCCTTTCAGACCCATAGTGTTGAGTTGTCTTCTCACAGTGGAAGGATGGACAGAAACACCTGTGGATTTTTTCAGATCTGAAGCAAGATCTTTGAGTTTGGTCCCTGGTGATGCTACAGCTATCCATGGCTGGGAGTCCAAGTGAGCACAACTGGCCTCACTCTCTGGGTGGCTGAGATGGCTCCCCTTCTCCCCGTATCACTCAGCGTGGTGCTAGCCAGCGCAGGCGTCTTTTATCTGACGCAACCGCAACGGCGGTTAGCATTTTCCTCCGAGCGCGCTCAGCTGTCCAATGATGTTCAAAAAGATGCAGTAGCTGGCTTCACAGGTCTCGGAGGAAACCTGTGCTAGCGTTTGCCCTCCTAGCACTGGTGGTATTGCATGACTGGAGGAGTCCTAACTAGTGGGTGGAATTGGATTTGACTGAATTGGGGACAAAATTGGAGAAAAAAAAAAAAAAGATGAAAGTTTTAAGTACTGTTTATGGGATCTTGCACGATTGTTAGTAGTTGCATTGTTTCATTTGATTTTTTTCCTTACTTATCCATGTGGATAACCGTATATTTAATCTCCTCAGTAATTTCAACTGAAAAATGTACTTGTAGTTGATGGCTGTTTAGATTGAAAATTAAATAAATGATTTAAGAGTGGTCTCTGACCACACAGTATTGCCCATAAAATTCTTTTTCAGTGTTATGATTTTTGGAATTTACTTTTCCACCATACAGGCTCCTTTAAGCCAAGTCAGTGTGCATGTAAAATCAAGAACAGTACACAAGGCTTAACATCCCACTCAGAACTCAGCTATACTCCTCCTTCTCTCCCTCTCCCTCTCCCTCTCCCTCTCCCTCTCCCTCTCCCTCTCCCTCTCCGCACAGGTGGTAATCTCCCATCTCCACCTCTCTCACTCACAGTCCATCTACTCACTCTTTCACTGACGTGGGCTCTGAGGGCCTGTGCGTGTGTATGTGTGTGAGGAGAAGTGAGAGAGGCCGTGGCCCGCCTGTCGATTTCCTATTATCTCTCCCGTAGAGAGGGGACTGCCCTCTCATCTATCAGACGGCAGACCACGGAGACAGCACACACCCCAACACATTGATCACCCAAAAACTTAAAAACTGCTGCATTGATGAGACGCACGTACACACAGAGACACATACACACATAGGTGCTGATCAATGTATTACACAAGAGCCTCAGCAGCCTGGAGAATGTGCACACATAGCACGTGTACACAGACACACACAGACACACACACACAGACACACACACACAGACACACACACACAGACACACACAGACACACACAGACACACACACAGACACACACACAGATACACACAGGGATGCACCAATATAATTGTCTTTCAGGTCTTGTACGATTACATATTTTTATTGCTGATACTGATTATGATACCACACTAAGTAACCCACTAATGAGTGTAACGTATCTTAAAATTGAATCATGAAAATCTAGCTGATTTTAAAATGATGTCTATTAGCTAGCTATGCTACATTAGTTACCAAGAAGCGAGTAGCGTTCGAGGGGAGATAAGCGGGTTTTATTCAGAGTCAGAGAAGTCTGTGTAGCACAGTGACAGCAGGAATTACATCTGAGGCTAGTCTGAGTTCTACATTTTGTTTTGTTTGGCTGGTTGACCTGTAGTTTAGTGTCCTCTATAATCAGATATACACAGTGTGATTGTAGAAAACTTGTTTTTTTTGTTGACTCACACTGTATGTTTGAATAGTCCATCGTGCACAGACAAACCAACGATTTATATATCTACATAGTACATAAACGCTAAACAATTTCAAAGAAACCTGTTTCATTCAAACTGCGCTACAGTAGCTTTGCTAACTTGTGCTTGAACACTAACACTGTGCTTGGAAACTAAACCAGGCAGTGCTGTACAGGTAGGACAACACAGTCTTTCTACAGACTATTTTACGAAGAGTATTTAAAAAAATCAACACATTAACAGTTATACCTCACTATTCTCTTCAGTCAAATAGCATAAAGTCAACATGTACAAACGTTGGTACCAAATGTCGACTTGTCTTTCATCTTTGTTTTGTTAGCCTATGTGTCTCCACCCATACTGGGGAAGTGGTTATGTGTGTGTTTGCATGGGTGTAAAAAGGGGCTATGATCGCACAGTGTACCGTGTCAGTAATGAGTGCACCTTAAAGTAGCTGAATTTTTAATTAAAGGGGATGTCTGGATACCTTTGGACACAAACCAACTATATTGACATACCAGTATTGGTGTCATATCATAGATATTGTCAGTACCTAAAAAGCACTAAAAAATCATTTTTCATTAGGAAGAGAGAATAATTAGGCCTGTTTAATTGGATTTGGTGCAGCACAGTATAAAAAATATTGAATAAAAAAATTCACTGTATTCATAGTTTTTTCATATTTTTTTTTAAATTTGGCACTACTGGGACTTTTTGTCAGTATCAACCTATCAAACCTAAAAAAAAAAAGAAACATGATGATGCATATCATGTATCTTGAAAAAGTCTTGATATGTTTTTGCCTCATCGCCCACCCCTAATGCACAGTATTGAATAGACGTTGATAGTTCACTTTCAAAGAAACATTCAAAACTAACCTGAGAAACAAATATAGCATTAATATACACTTTCCATGAATTGAGATCAATTTCATCCCATTACCTTTTTAAAAGCAATAAAGTGATTAAGTAATTAATTTTATTTCTGTAAAAAGTGAAGGGTTCTGTATTTTAACTTAAAATAAAATTATTAAAACTAGCATTTAAATGATCACCAAATAACAAAACCATAAAATGTTTGAATCTATCTTTAATATGGTGATTTTGGCCATAAATACAAATTTTGTTTAGTTCGTTTCCTAGCAATATGATGTTAAAAACAATCTCCCTATTAATTAATTTAACCAAAAAATATTTTAACCTGTGTCCCATATTTTATGCTCAAACCAATTCCCCCCTGTAAAAATGGAACATTCCATTTATTATGACTTACACAAGAATTTGCATTGTTTTCTGCGGAATGACCATAAGACAAGTATGTAATGTTAGTCTATTTTCTCAATTTGCATACATTTTGATTTGGCTGCATGGGTAAAGCTTTACTACTCAACCTTGTTACCAAAATTATTGTTAGAAAAAAAAACAAAACAAAAAAATATTTTATATATATATATATATATATATATATATATACACACACACACACATATATATACACACATACACACACACACATTTTATGCAAACTAGAAAATAATTATATTAATATGGGCTTTTGTACATCTCACTAAAATTGATAATAGGGTCATGTAAAAAGCTGCACATTTCAGAAACAACAGCTCATATATTATCTGATTTGACAGCCTGAGGTGGGAAAATAACATTTACTGAAGGTTAAACACTTACAGTGATTAATACTTTGTCAAAAAACACTAAAGGAAAAAGTACATTTTAAGAGTTTCAAGGCCTAAAATGAACTTCATGAACAGAAAGAAAATATCAGTGGCAGAATAACCAGACTTACGTTGAGTTTGTAGGGCATGGACTCAAAGTAGATGGAGGTGGCGGAGATTCGCTTCACATCAGACATATAGCCATGGGTAAGACTAGAGAGCGAGAGAGAAATAAGAAGGAGCAGGGGGAGAGAACAAGTGAGTGTGGCCTAATGACACATATTACTTCATTAGCTCCTGTCCCTGCTAAAGCAGAGACTGAGTCAATACTCACTGTGAGAGTACTGAACACAAACAACTGCCCTCAGTCTGACACAGCAGCAAAATGAACAAGAGGGATACACACTCTTCTCCATTAGGCAAGAGAGTGAGCGTGTGAGTGAGTGAGTCAGTGAGAGAATGAGTACATGAGGGAACTGCCTGTACTAAACCCTCTGACTGAAGGTATGGGTGAATGAGTTGGTGAGTTTAAGCAAATGTCTCAGTATAAAACTGGACAAGAGTGAGGAACAGAAAATGTAGATATGAAGTATACGATATAAATGAGGGAGTATACAAGGAAAAACTTTAACAAATACATGGATGTAGAGCTGACTTGTCTACTCATCTGAACATCGACAAAGTAGCGATGCACTGAATGCACTGAATCTTGGGCAAAACTGAAATCAGGACAGACTAGACCAAAAAACGAGGTGACACTTTATTTTAAGTGGTCCTTTATAGACAAAAAAACAAGAACTCAACGGACTCTCAGTAACATGTCAAAAACATATGAAGGTTAGGATTAGGTTTTGGGTTGAGGTAAAGGTTAGGATTAGGGCCAAGGTTAGGGTTAGGTTTTGGGTAAGGTTTGGTTTTGCATAATGGAAGTAACATATAAACAATACATCTACTTAATGTTAGTAATGTATCAACAGAACATCTACAAGATATTTACTTCAATGTATTCAGATGCTTCACAACTGCTACTTTACTCATATGCTGTTAAAGTGTTACTGATAATCTGTTAAGAGTTTATTAAGCATCTACAACTGACCATTCCAAATACATTCTGGTGTTACCAAAAATAAAAATGGATTTCTGTGGTTTTAGTACCATTGTGTAAATATGTATTTCTGCCTTTAAAGAAAACATTACTGGAAATCTTTAAAGGAAAAAAAAACTAAAAACAAAAATAATACTACTGAAAAGTGAGTCTTTTCATTGGGACAAAGTTATGGGGTTTTGTCAACTCATAGCTGGCTCTATTTGAATGGGGTCAGTAATGGTCAGTGCAAGAGAGCAAAGGAAACATTCAACCTTTTTTTTTATTCTCATTACCACTGAAATGATCTGTAGTGTTACCTTTGACACTTTGGCTATGTTCACATTACAAACCTCATTGCTCAAATCAGATTTTTTGCTCAGACCAAATTTGAAGGTAGTTTGAAATGAGATTCCTATTAGATATCTACAGATGCGATGATGTCTGGATGCTCTGGCCACTCAAATCAGATTTCAAAGTTTCTTTTGTGTCACTTGCAACGTGACAAACAATGATGATGTCAAATCCAGAGTAATGGATTTGCTGGGAAATGAAGAAAAGCAGCAAGTGGAGTTTGGAAGGAGAGATCATATACCTCCATCTCTCCTGCACCCACATTTGAAATCTGCATCACCAGCAGATTTACCACAGCACCCCATGCAGATGTGTGGACACTCAAATCTGATCTGATCACTTGCAAATAACAGTGCAGACAGTTGCCTCAAAACAAATGATTTGAGAAAGAAATCTGCTTTGCCTGCTGTCTGAGCACAAGTGACACAAATCTGTTATTAATGTGAACGAACATGTGTCCTGAAACGGCCCACATGCGCACGTTATAATCAGTAACTTCACATGAACGAATCACGTGAGTCATGAACAGCGGACAAACTAACCAGCAGAGCAAGCCTTGCTGTGAAGATAATTAGTTCTGAACAGCTCTCAGCTGTTCATCATTAGAGCAGGATGAAGGTGAAAAATGGTCAGATGTGTTGCTTTTCCTGTGTCTACTTGCCCTAACTTCAGGCTCACCCCGCTGCCTCGTTAACACTGAATGATAGCACATGCGCAGTGGGGTGGGGGGTGAATGGCGGAATTCTGATATGGGCATTCTCATTAAGGTCGCATGGCCATGAATCAGATCCTATCTAGAATCATATAGGAAAGTGGCTCAGATCTGATTTGAAAAGAGCAGATGTGTGTTCACACTGCTCTGAAAAAGCAAATCTGTATCATGTTAAGGCAAAAAAAAAAAATCAGATTTTTGCCACTTCAGGCAGGTAATGTTAATGTAGCTTTTATCACAGGTTTTTAAAACATTTTAATTCACATGTTGAACACTATTCAATTAACTGACTAACTTAACTATTAAGATTTTTGGTTTCATTTGTGTGACAAGAGATTGTTTTTTTAAAACATTCACATTTTCCCCAATTCTTTCCGTCAGTGTAACTGGCTAACTGTTACAACCCTTATAAAAAGAAAATCTGTTTTTTTTTCCCCTTTTTTCAGCATTTTTGATCTAAAATCTTAAGTTTTTGGCCACTTTCAGCTGAAAATGTTCAACAGGTGAAGCTCTGGCACATCCCTAGACAAATAAATGTGCAAGCAAGAGATGAGTAAAGTATGAGTAAGTAGATACTTCAAGTCCACTCACTGTCCACCATCAGGCAGGTCCAGGCCCATGAGGCGGTCATGAGGGTTGAGCACAGCTGTGTAAGCAGCGAAGTTGGCGGGGGAGCCCGAATAGGGCTGGACATTGACACCCCAGCGATCCGAGTCCAAATCAAATGCCTCCAGAGCCCGCTTCTGACACAGCAGCTCAATCTGATCCACCACCTCTGCACCACCGTAATACCTACATACACACAAACACAAGGAAGTTAAAGTGGTCAAAGAACTGAAGCTGTGAAAACCCTGCCTGGAATAGAATACAAGTTGCTCCTACCCACAGAAAGATACTTATATACTTAACATGCAGAAAAGAACCTGATTCCTACTGTGAAGTGTGGTGGAAGATTTATGACAATGGGACTAATTTTCTTCCAGAAACCCTGGGAATCTTGATAGGATACATGGCATCATGGACTCCCCTACAGGGAGATGCTACATTGAAGCCTGGCTGCCTCTGCCTGAGACTAAAACTGGGTCATGGTTGCATTTTTTAGCAGGACAACGATACACAACACAGGTCCAAATCCAAAGTGGTTCACTGACCACAGAATCGGACTACAGAAGGTTTTGTAGTGGTCATTCTGGTCCCATGACACAAAAATAACTGAAAACCTGTCGGCTGAGCTCAAGAGGAGATTCCACATGTGAGGACCAAGGACTCTGAAGCATCTAGAGAGATCATTCTAAGGAGGAATGGTCTCAGAACTGTTTGTATGTGTTCTTCCACCTCACTCAGCTTTACAGGAGAAGACAAAGGGGTATGCAAAGAGGGTCTTAAAAATATTAACTGCAAGATTTATTGACTGAAGGTTTGGGTTTCTCTCATATTTTCAGCATAACATAAAGCTAACATCCTTTCCTTTTCTACTCATCTTTGCCAAGTATGCCAATACTTAGGTCACTACAAAAAAATGCATTTTATAATAATATTCCACTTAAAACAAGTATCAACATCAGGCAGCATACAATAATGAAAGAGAAGTTGCTGATGTAATCACAGTCTGTTGTTGACACACAAGTACCTCTTTCCTGGGTAGCCTTCTGAGTACTTGTTATTGAGACAAGAGCCCTGAGCCTCAAGAGCTGCTCTGCTGCAAAAATTCTGTGGGGGAGAAACACACACACACACAAACACAAACACAAACACACAGTAGAGAGTAAACATTTGTTTGTGGTGTTTATCATAGACCTAGGGCTATCCCCTGAGGAGAGAAAAAGAAACAGCCCCTGCAGAGTGGTATCCTGACAAGCCTCTACCCATAATATCACAGCACCCCTCCATTCCTATCTCTCTTACTGTCCTTCACCCACACACAAACATAATGCTAATGTTTGGCCTCAGATCGTCAGATACCACAGAGCAGGCAACAGCTCTCAAATGCATGCCACCACCACGCTGTGAAGGCAAACACACAAATTGGAAATGCAATTTGAGGACTTTTGTGCTCTTGCTGCACAACACGCAGCCACTACAGGGGACCAACAGGTAGAGAGAGTGGTAGAGAGAGTTAGAGAGAGAGAGAGAGAGAGAGACAAATGGCAGTATGGACGGGAGATGGGAGGGCAGTAACAATAAAAGATGGGCAGAAACAAAATAAAAGAAGCAAATGACCACAAGTTTTTCTTGTTAAAATAAATAAAAGGAAAGATAAAACAGATGCACAGAAAACTCATATGGAAATAACAAATCACTTTCTACCCAGCTAACAACATTCAACATACAAATAACAGTGCAGCCTTCATAAGTCTTCAGGTGTCATAAATACAAAACAATAGCTGTAGATTCACAATTTAAATTGAAGCACAATATATGATTTGTAAAGTCATTTTAGGATTGCCAAATAAATGATACTTTAACTGACCATCATCTTGCTTGAAAACTAGCGCTATATTTTACCTGCTGAATTCAGCGCCTGGTTTCAGGTATTAAGGGACCTACATTCATCAGGTTCCACTCATCAAGTTCCACTCATAGAGCATCTAAACATGGTCATAAGGACCATTCAGGTGCTTTTTGGCAAAACAGGACAAGTAGCACTGTTCTTTATCAAGCAGCTGTTTCTATCTTGCTGTGCCATGAATTCCATTTTTGTACAATGACCTTAAAAGCTGCTGAAGAGGTGATGGCAAAACGCCCACCACTTTCAGGATGACCTACTGTCTCCAATCTTCTCCATTTGGACAAGCAGTGACAGACATTAATGAGTGCTTTTGGAAGATTAGATTAGCTCTTCGTGCTTTATAAGCCATATGATGCTCACTTGACTATGGTAGTAAAAGCCAAGAGCAGGCAGATCAAATCCAATTGTTTATTAAAGTCTTCCAGTTGCTAATCCTCATCTTATCTATACAACTAGGTTGCATTCAACAGATGAGCAATTACTTTTTCACACCCGAAAGTTGCACTAATAATTACCTTGCATAATGCGGACTAACAAAACTGGCATCATTATTTTCCTGTCAGACTCCTCTGACACAGCAGAATCAGCCCTGTTATGATTATCAACTGGTCTCCCAAGTTCGTAATACAATTACAGTGATCTCCATATTCACTACATTTGCTGCTTTCACACTTGCAAACTTACTTACTGTGCCATCACACCAAAATATAAAAGAATAAATAATTCAACTGCAAAATCAAAAACAATGTAGCTGAAAAAAATAAAGATACGAGATAAAGTTTGTGAACCCTCTGGAATTATCTGAATTTCTACATCAACAACATCTGAAATATGATCTTTCAGCAGTATAACAGAGAATTTGATTAAACAAGCACCTTTAACATATGTCTACCTCTTTGCAGAAAAAATGCTTTACACAATCAAGGTCTCTGATAGAAAAAGTATTTGAACTAAGACAGTGAGCACTGGAGAAGGGGATAACTGGAATTCCAATCTAATCCAGGTGTGGGTTGGACCTGCACTGCAAATAAAAAGTAAAATAATTATAAAAAATGGTGGCATTCATCGCAGGGTGGAGGAAACCACTGCTCTTCAAAAAATATTTAAAACATGCATGGGTGGCTGTATTTCTCACAAGCTAGAGATCTGACCTCAAGTCCATTACCATTATGGTGTGATCTGAAGGAGGACATTCAAGCAAGACATCCCAAAAACATACTTCACCTGAGACAGTCGGGCATAGATAAATGGGCCAGCATACTTTTTACCTGCTGCACTGGACTATCCAGCAGCTACAGAACATGTTTACTGATACTTCTATTAATTACTAAATACATGCTTTAAACACACAAGGATGGCTGTATTTCCCAGAGCATTACTGGACCAATGTGGCACGTGTCCATTCCAAACAAGCAGGAGCACACCTGATTGTACCTGTTTAGTCAATTGGTCTCAGTCTTAAAAAAAATTATCAGGTGAGCTCCTGCATTGTTGGAATGCAAACCTGCAGCCTCTCTGTCCCTTTGTGGATAAAACTGGACACCCCTGCATTAGATGATTGTTCCATTAGGGAAACCAATATAAGGCATCTCCTGTGTAACTATCACAGTAATAAAGCCCAAAGTACTAAATTTGAATTCAAAATACCATCACTGGTAAGATAACTTAAAAGTATAAGATATATTTAGACTTGACATTTAGTGTGCAAATAATTTATATCACTAAAACCTTAGAATAAACTCGTCACTTGGCCGTAGATATATCTAAAACTCTTGAATTAGCAGTAATCAGACCTATAATTAATCTCTCTATCCCTGCAAGCTATCAAACTACAGACCTTTTTCAAATCTACCCTTTACATCGAAGATTTTGGAGAAAGCTGAACAACTAAGTTCCTACTTGCAAAGGAATCAAATACACAACATATTTTAGTCTGGATTTAGACCTCATCATTGTACAGAGATAGAACTAGTGAAAACTGTAAAAGACCTCTTATTATTAATGACCAAAGTGGATCTTTATTGGTCCTAGCTTTTCCCATTAGATAACTGCACATCCTGTGCCGTCTGATGCTGTTGCATCATCTGCCTTTATCGGGTGCCCCTGCTCACCCCCCTTCTGGACCAGTCTGACCACCACAGAGCTTCCTGCTGTCCATTGCTGTGCAAAAAGCTCTGCTGGTGATACTGGTGCATGTACACACACAAATGAAAGTCACAGACATTGTGTCATCTGTCTCACGATACACTGAGCTCTTCTCAGTCATTAACAGATCATTATTATGGGTTTCTTACAGCAGTCACTGATGTTCATGGATTTAACTCTCATTTTCTCTGTTATATGTACCTAACAGTAGTCACTGGTAATTACTGGTAACAGTGACATTTTCATAGATCTACTGCTCACTGATACTCTGATAGACCCTTAGGAGAAGTCATCGGCTATCATTGGTTAATCTAAATACTTCTGACCAATGACAGATTGGTTTCTAATGTTTTTATTTTGCTGTATGTTAAATATTTACATATTAATTCTAAAATTCTATTCATATTGCTCATTGTGTTTTTGTTATGCTTGTTGACCAGAGGAGGATGGGTTCCCTTTTTTGAGTCTTGGTTCCTCTGAAGTTGGTTCCTTCTTGCTCTTAGAGAGGTTTTCCTTGTCATTGTCGCCCCTGGCTTGCACACTGGGGCTTGGACCCGGATTTTCTGTTAAGGTGCTTTGTGAAAATGGCTGTTGTAAAAAGCACTATATCAATAAACTTGACCTGACTTGACATGAACTGCAGGAAAAAAAAGGGGTGATTAACAGAAACCAAAACCACAAAGAATTTTAGACCGTCCTGCCCTACTACAATACTCATTACTACAATTTTCACCTCGCAATTCACATTTGACAAATGACAATCGTATCAGTCAGTAAAGGACAATTTAGAACTACAAGAAAATTAAAATGTACATCTTGAATATAAAATTTCATCAGTTGATACCACTTATCAGAATTTTTAAACTTTTCAATCAATATTGGTTACAAAATCTGCATAATGTCCCAAGTTACTTCTTCATATTGTTCTGACAAGGTCCACCCTCACTGAGGGGTACAAAACCAATGGACCATGAGCTGCAGACTCATAAAAGTAATTTGTTTCAGAGTGAAAGAACATGGCAGGCTCTCTAGAGCTCCACTATGTCTTGTTCCTTCAGAGTTCCATGATTTCATAACAAACCTGTTTGTTCTCTTTATCAGCTGTTTTGTAGCACAGCTCTTGTGTAAGCAATGTAAGGGAACCATCAGGGCATGTCTCAGTGAGTAAACAGCTATGCTTCCAAGTAAAAATGCTTGAAAGTGCAGAACTGGGAGTGCAAATTAGCAAAAAGTATCAAAGTGACCTGGAACTCATCTGCAGCACAGCATGAGTCACGGGTGGCACAGGGACATCAGGAGAACCTCAGAGATGTCTGAAATGACACCTAACCAGCAGCTGCACAAATGTCCTCATTGGAGGCATCCAAAAATGATGCCCATGAGGATGTCAAGCTTCTATCATGTTGTCCACAAATTATCCAGACACTATTTAGCCTCTGGAACTGTATGCCAACTTAATATCCAGTCAAAGTGATGCTGCAAAGACAAAATACGACGGCAACTAATCTGTTCCTGCTGCAGGCAGACTGCAGGGATTCTGAGGATTTCTCCAGGCATTGGTAGCACAATCTCAACAAGTCTCGCTGGAGTCACGGTTGCTGCCTGGTGACCAGAGTCTCATAGTGGGTGGAGACACTGCTTGATGTATTAAATATTGAGAAGTGGTGCTCGTGTCAATAAAGTTGTTTTGTGTCAGTGCACGCTCATGTCTGCATGCTTTAACCTCAGCCTGTGATTTTCGTCTTGACTGTCCTTCTCTAGGCAGCGATGTTTCACACAGCCACTCCAAAGTTCTTTGTTACTTTGTTAGAACTTTGAAGAAACACTGTAGCCTCAACACCAGACGTTCAGACATGAGGTTGCATGATACACATCTCTAAATCCACTAGGATTTCAAAGCAATAAAATGATAACTCCTGTAATGTTAGGAAGGGGCTGGGGACATGTTCCCACCTTAAAAAAGGCATGAAAATTAGCACTGTATCTCTCAGTGATTTTGACAGAATTAATGATTTTGTACCATCTATGTTATGTCTTATATATATATATATATATATATATATATATGTTAGTGTGCAACACACACTAACATACCACCACCACGTCAGTATTACTGCACTGCTGAGAATGATCCACCATCCAAATAGTGCCTGCTCTGTGAGTTAAATAACATCAATAAGAAATTTGACTTCTTAGCAGTAATGTTGGCAATCTGGCTTCCCTCTGCACTAGCAAGCTAGCAAAAACAAAAAACAAAACAAAAAAACAAACAAATCAAAACAGCCCATCTCCAAGTACCCACCCAAAAATGCCTGAAGTCTTTCAAAAAAATTCCTGCCACCTTTTAAGATGCATCAGCAGAAGAGGTTTTTCCTTGTATTTAAACTGAAAAATCTCACTCTATCTATAAAGGCAAGCAGGCATGTTAACAACAGATGCAGTAATAGTTCAGTTTTTCATTTTGACAGGAGTGCTGTTTTAATAATGTGAATACATTAAGCAGGAGTCATTCACAAAATTACTAACAAAATTTTTATTAACAAAATAACTACATGTTAAAGCTCCAAATCATTTGTTGGCATTGTTTGAATACAATGGAGAACTCTCAATCATTTTAATTGTGAAAGAGGTTAAAAACACTCTAATTCTTAATGCCCCTGAATGGAGGAACAGTTAATCTTTGGTGAATAAATATTTAAACTGCATAAAACTGAAGGCATCAAAACCTCTATTTTCTTTTTAAGCAGTGAAGAGTAGCTGCATTTAAAACGAGTAATAGCAAATGGCAGTGCAACATATATCTGTTGTTTATAAATGCGCATGACAAATTTCAGACTTACGCATTTGCTTTCTGTGAAGAAGTCTTTAAGTTCATAGTAATGTTCATAAAACATGTAGCATAATTTATTTCAGACTGCCTAAAAATAACGTTTATCACATAAGTTCACCTGAGCTAACATCTCCCAGTGACTGTTAAAAACTCCACCACTCATTCATTGATCCGTTTCATGCAAACCATAAAAAAACAAGTATTCCCAAACAAACATTTAACTTCGACACTTAACTAAGACTAACTTTAACACTTAACTAAGACTGCACAATCAAATAGTGCAAAGATTCAAGAATAATGTTCCTTAGTGTAAAACAGCAAAGCTTTTGCTTTTCATCATTCACGGTACATAATATCATTAAAAGATTCAAAGAATCTGGAGGAATCTCTGTATGCAAAGGACAAGGCCAAAAAACAGTATTTGCTGGCCATGATCTTTCGACCCTCAGGCAGCACTGCATTAAAAACAGACATGATTCTGTAGTGGAAATCATTGCATGGGCTCAGGAACACTTCTGAAAACCACTGTCTGTGAACACAGTTCATCACTGCATCCACAAATGCTAATTAAAACTCTAAAATGCAAAGAAGAAACCATATATAAACAGGATCGAGAAACGCTGTCACCTTCTATGGGCCCGAGCTCATTTAAAATGGACTGAGGAGAAGTGGAAAAGTGTCCTGTTGTCCGATGAATCAAAATTTGAAATTCTTCTTGGAAATCATGGACACTGTGTCCTCCAGGCTAAAGACCACTCAGCTTGTTATCAGTGCACAGTTCAAAAGCCAGTATTCATGATGTTTTATGGGTGCATTAGTGCACATGGCATGGGTGACGTGCACATCTGTGAAGGCACCATTAATGCTGAATGATGTTTACATGTTTTGGCAACATATGCTGCCATCCAGACGACGTCTTTTTCAGGGAAGGCCTTGATTATTTCAGCAAGACAATGTAAAACCATATTCTGCACATATTACAACAGCATTGCTCCGTACTAAAAGAGTCCGGGCGCTAAACTGGCCTGCCTTCAGTCCAGACCTGTCACCACTGATAACATTTGGCGCATTATGAAATGATATATACAACAAATAAGCCCCAGAACTGTTGAGCAGCTGAAATCCTGTATCAAACAAAATGGGGAAAACTTTCGAACTTTCACGTTCAAAACTACAGCAGTTGTTCTCCTCAGTTCCCAAACACTTAGAGAGTTGTTAAAAGAAGAGGTGATGAAATACAGTGGTAAACATGACCCCGTCCCAGCTTTTTTGGAATGTATTGTTGGCATCAAATTCAAAATGGGCATATATTTTTCAAAAAACAATTTGTAGCATTTTCCTTTAAAAATATGGTTTACATGATTTGCTCATCATTGCATCCTATTTTTATTTACATTCTGCACAGCGTCCCAACTTTTTTTGGAAATGGGGTTGTAGATTAATTACAGTTTCATGGACAAATTGCAGAAAATAAATCACTCTAACCACAACTTTTACAAAACTGAATTGTGTTCTTTTATTTAACAAAGATTTAGCTACAAATCAAACACTTTGTGTTTATGCTTGCTCAGTGTCCTCTTTAATGTTAGGACCTGTCTGAATATTACTAGACAAAAAGTGTTGTTTGCTGTGCCCCCCCCCACCATCTCCCACCCCGAATAAGAGGACTATGTTACTGGACCAGGACTACTGCCACAGTATGTCGATGTATCAGTTTGTTTTGGTTGCCACTCTGCTTAAATGTTAGCCTTATGCATCAGCAATCTGAGTTCTCGATTCATCAGGTACACCCACGTTGTCCCTACATTCATTTGCCATTTGATACAATTACTGACTGTACCACACTCTACTTTCAGTGGAAAGAGACCAACGTAGGACTACCGCTCACCAGGGGCGTAAATCACTAGTTTCATCACAATGCGATCCTACATCGATTCTTTTAGACAATGATCAGAAGATTTTCGATACCTCAAAATTTGCTGTGATGCGATTCAGTACTGGGGTCTGCAGTCGATACGAAAGGATACTGGGGTGTCAGAGCAAGTCAGAGTTTGTTCAGTTTAGTTATTCTGTTCAGTGACAGTTATTTGGCCTTTTGTTGTAAGGACTCTTATTTTGATGAGCAGGGCTGCATACTGGGGTAAACAGTGTGAGCCTAGCAGTAAACAGAGTAGCCTAGCCAGCTAGTCAGAGCGCCAGTTTCCCTTTGTTTTTGTATGCTGTTTCTGAATTATTCAGTATGGACCAGATATATGACTTGTCTGAGTTCTCTGGAGAAAACCCCCATGGTACAATATGATGAAATTCCATACAATCGAGCCACCGGTTTTAGCACAGTGTCGCCTTTTAAGTGAGCTGACAAGTGTGTGGCATTACCTGAGTGTCTTAGCTCACACTTACATTCTTCGCAAACAGCGAACATTGTCTGTCTGTACATTATTTTTCCCAAACCCAAAATATTCACACACTCATGATTTGTTACCAAGACAAGAGTGCTAAACTTAATTTTCTTGGCTGCTACTGCTCGGACGACTGGTAGATTGCTGCCGCATCATTAGCCACTTTAATGTGAACACAGACGGTTTTATTTGGGCAGACTGCAATAAGCTCACACCGCAGATAATGTTGGAACCGGTGTGGAAAACATGCATGCATCAATTTTAATGTGTCACATCGATGACTGTTTGCTATTTGGTCAATGCATCCGTACAGATTGATGGATTGTTACATCCCTACTACTGACCGGGTGTTATTTTGGTAGTGGATCATTCGCAGAACAGCAGTCATAACATGATGACATGGAGCAGCATGTGAAGCTGGTATGGGTTTAAGGCTGGGGTATAACACCTACCTTGTTGGTAGACCTCATAAGAGCATAGTGAGAGAATGTACCTCATCTTCCATGCACAGTTTGTGTTAGTTATCCTCCAGCCCTCCAGTCAGTGTCTGACCACACGGCCACAGTTGGTTGGTTATTTTTAGTTGGCAGACCATTCTCAAACCAGCAGTGACAGTGAGGTATTTAAAAACGCCAGCAGTGCTGCAGCGCTTGATAAACCAGTGCAACACGCACTAACATGTCACTACTGTGGCGGTGTCACTGCTGTGCTGAGAATGGTCCACCACTCAAGTAATTTCTGGTCAGCGGTGGTCCCTTTTCATTGACTGACAAGGCAGTGTGCCTCAAATTATACAGCAACAGACGGGCTACAAAGTGCACCTTTGTGGTAGGTACAGCTGACAAAATGGCCAATCATAAAAATTAATGTTTATGATTAAACAATTTATGTTTATTATTTACATAATAATATGCATTCAATAAGTGAGGGCAAGTGTCAACCAATTAGAATGTGTATGGTCAAACAATCAACCGATTATAATGTGCGTGTTTACCTCTGAAGCTATGAGTTCCAGTCCACGACACTGTCTGTCTTTCTCTTTCTGCAACAAGTTCCACATCTCAGGGTCATCTTGAGCCAGGCTGTCCTGCCCAGTCCAGGGCCGGTCATGTTCAGCTGGCCGAGCGGCTGCAGAGTGTTGCTCCCTCAGGCCTGCACTCAGAGCTGCAGGACCACGCTGGCTTAAGGGCTGCGGGGCACACATAGAGACAGGAAGAGGAAGGAGTCATTTTTTTCATTCAAAAATCAGGGCTGCAGCTATGAAAATAAGATAAGATAAGATAAGATAATCCTTTATTAATCCCACAACGGGGAAATTTGCGGTGTTACAGCAGCACAGAAGACAGAGCAGCAGGAAATATACAAACAATATATAAAAAAGAATAAACAATAAAAATATAAAGATATATGTATATGTACAAAAATTACAAGAAAAATATACAAAGTATTAAATTTAAATTTAGAAATGTAGAAATGTATGTATTGTAGTGAGTATTGCACAGTGAATAAAATAGCAAATAAATAAACAGTAATAAATGGAGAAATATTGCACTTGACATAATTGCACATAATGGTGGTAAACATATTGACAGTGATCCGCAGTGAATATACTACGCATGGTGGATTGAGATATTGCACACAGTAAAGTGCTGTGGCAGTGATGTTGAGAGTTCTTGCACATGGAAAGTAATTGTAAACTACTGTCTACTGAGTGCCGTGACTGTTATAGAGTAATATGCAAGAACAATGACCTATATTAATGTTTACTTACTGACAGAATTCACCTATTTCTGTATTTTGCGAGTTGTAACTATTGCTTCAAAAGCAACACCTGAAACTCAATTATATTCTTTATTTATGCAGTGAAACGTAGAAGAAAGCTTGAATGTATTAAATGAAAAAAAAGTGTAGTAGAGAAATTATAATTTGCATAAGTTACAGACATACAATACAGTCTGATGAAACATTTAACAACTTTTAGTGAGCTGGGTACGTCAAATAAATTTGAACTATCTGCTGGGTCATGTAAATGAATATTAAACCACTGCTTTCATCTTACAGCCAGGGAGAGGCAGCCCACTTTTAAGTAGAGCTCACAGTGATGAGTACAGAAGGGATCATCAGCATCATAGCCAAGAGCTCTATGGTAAACAAAACATAGATTTTTCGAGGTAGTGGCAGACTAATGTAAATTAAAAGTTCAGTGCTGCATCTGCAAAGACACAATCTACTTAGCCTGTCTGAACATGAACAGCCTATACCACTGCAATGCATGCAGTTACTCTGAGAGCCAGCATGGGAATGCACATGTTGCTACTACTCAATTTAGCCTACAGAGTGGGTACACTACACTACACTATGCAGCTGTAAAAGCCTCCACTCTTCTGGGAAGGCTTTCAAAAGGTTTTGGAGCATGTTTGTGGGAATTTGTCCCTATTCAGTTAAAAGAGCATTTGTGAGGTCAGACACTGATGTTGGGATGAGAAGTCCAGGTTCGCAATCAATGTCCCACTTCAACCCAGAAGTGTTCAGTGGGGTTGAAGTCAGGACTCTGTGTAGGCCACTGGAGCTCCTCCACATCAACCTCGTCAAACCATGTCTTTATGGACCTGGCTTTGTGTACAGGGGCACAGTCATGCTGATACAGTAAAGGGTCTTACCCAAACTGCTGCTACAATGTTGAAAGCATAGAATTGTCTAAAACGTCTTTGTTTGCTGTAGCATTAACAGTATCCTTCACTAGAATTAAGGGGCCCAAACCCTGAAAAACAGCCCCAGACCATTATCCCTCCTCCACCAAACTTTCCGGTAGGTACTGTTCTCCTGCCATCCACCAAACCCAAATTCGACTATCAGACCATACAGTGAAGTGTAATTCATCACTCCAGAGAACACATTACTATGACTCCTGAGTCCAGTGGCAGTGTGCTTTACACCACTCCAGCTGACATTTGGCATTGTGCATAGTGATCTTATGTTTGTGAGATACATGCTTCAGCACTTGGCGGCACCATTTTGTGAGTCTGTGTGGTCTGCGGATTCGTGGCTGAGCTGTCGTTGCTGCTAAATGCTTTCGTTTCACAATAATAGCCCTTACAGTTGACCAGGGCAGATCTAGCAGAGCAGAAATTGCAAAATCTGACTTGTGGCTAAAGCTGGGCGATATGGCCAAAAAATGTATCATGATAAACAAAATTCATATTGTTCGATATCGATACTTATCGCGATAAATGTCAAATCATTATTTCTTTCAAGTTTGAAGGCTGATTTTTACTCCTGGGTGGTTAACTGCTGTTTTAAACTATTCTTTATGGTCGGAACACGACAAACACTCGGCAAACAGTGGAACAATTCACAAATCTGTCATGGGAGAGTGGGAGAAAGTGTCTGGTGAGCTGTTTTTATCAGCTGGAAAAGCACGGCCACAGTTTTTGTAATAGTCATACTTCAAGAAAGAAAAGATTATTTTTAGCTTTCTGGTGACGAGTGCTCAGCTATCCCGTTACAAATGCTAAACAAGTGGCCAACAACAGTGCTGAACTGTTTCGTTTTTCAACAACGTCAACTTAGTACGAACAGCAAATGTTAGCTGGCTCGGTAGGTCAAGGATGGATCACACCGCCTTACTGCCATCACTCCTACCACATCCACGTCAGAGTATATCACAGTATTCAAACACCAGCTAGCGACGTCTGGCTTTCTCTATTATATCGTAGCAGTTTAAGGGGTGAACCGCAATATATCAACACCAGACAAATGGAGTCCTCCTTTTAGGAACGTTTAAACCGAAAGCAGTGCTTTTGCGTCGTGTTTGATCTACAGTATCATCAATTCTCCGTGTTGTGGAGTGACGGAGCGCTGCTTCAAGTTAGCCAGCTGCTAAAAACAGCTAGCCTGGAAAGGTAGCGCTCACCTGCTTTCCAATGCCTCACAGCCCTCCTCAGTTTACTTTCTTTTAAATCAGGGCTGTGACTTGCATGAATCCACTTCTTTCTTTCACTTTTGTTGCTTGGGAATGCACTACAATACTTAAATATGACTTTTTTGAGCGCTGTAACAGTGCTTTAGTTGAGAGGAACAGACATGATTTAATGCTGCTAAAACTTGTTAGGATATACTGAAAGAGGTGAGTTCACTGTAGGACAGTATAGTTACACCACTTATCTCGTCACTCACATTCGGTCACAGAGAACAGATTGCCGGTCGCTCCACTCAAACAGGGAATGTATAACTGCTAAAGACTCATTTTACTCGTCGCCCCCTCCCTCTCTAATCATGTCTAAAAACTCAGAAGTGCACCCTCTCCTGGCGACAGCAGAGTAGTGTTGCTTTCCTTGCAGTAGAAAACGCCATGGCTGTCGCTAGAACGTGAAAGTGTGAGAATGGTGTACTATATTGAAAATTTATCGAACATTTCTTATCACTCTATCGGGGAAAAGTTATATCGCGATAGTTATCGTTATTGTTTTATCGCCCAGCCCTACTTGTGGCATCCAATAACAGTACCACGTTTAAAGTCACTGAGCTCTGCAGTACAATCCATTCTTCTGCCAGTGTTAGTCTATCGAGACTGCATGGCTATGTGCTTGATTTCATATACCTGTTAGCAATGGGTGTGGTTGAAACACCAAAACTCATTAATAAGAAGTAATAAGGTGTGTCCACATACTTTTGGCCACAGAGTGTATTTCTTTGTGGTCTGGAGACACTTTCTGAAAGCTAAGCCAGTCAAAGTTAAAAAAATCATTTTAAATGTAATGGCAGCACAGAAAGAGGAGTTACGTAAAGGAGCATATGGGCTGTGTACATGAAGTAGTGCTCGCAGTGATTATTTTTGATTTATCATGAAGAGACTAATAAAAATAAGATGATGGGGCAATGGTGTGAGACTCAGCTTTGAACAGCTGTTTGTGTGTTGCTGAAAAAAGCCCATATTTGAAAACCTGTTTTTGCAACTGTTAGAGGCACCGTCTTACTGCAAATCATCAACCGGCCCAGTTCTCAGCATTTTTAGACATTCTGAGACAAAGTCTGCACGTTCAAATCTAGAACCAAGATTCGATTTTGTTAGGCAAATTTAAGACTGATAAAATAATCTTCATTCAGCTCATCTAGTTTTAGAACTACCACTAGAACCGCTGATTCTGGTGGTGGAAAGCAGCCTCATCCATATAGGCGAGAGAGAGCGGCCGGTTGAGAGATATAATAATCAGTGTGGAGGGTTAATTATGCTGGAGTCAGCAGTACTGATGAGACACTTTATTGCAGGACTCCACAAAGCAGGGCAAAAATTCAGCACAACTCTTATCTAATCGCACACTCACACACACACATTTCACTTCACATGAGGCCTTTATCAGTTCTTCTTGCTCTCTTTTCCCCTCTCTTGTTCTGTTATTTTCATTCGTTTGTCAGTTCAGACCTCAGTCATCCACTTCGTCTCTTTCTTTTCTTTTATTTCTTCCTGTTCTCTCCTCCACCACTTTTACGTCAACAGCCAAACACTTCTTTGACATTTCTTTGCTTTTTCATCTCCATTTGTTCCCTTTTCAAAGGCTATGCTCAACCCATGCACAAAAAAGGCTGACTAATGGCTACTGTATTTTCTTGGAAACTTGCATGCTTGGCGATAAAATTGCCAAGGCTATGTTTGTCCTTAATAAATGCACCAAGCCGGGCACTTCATAAATAACAGTAATAAAGATAATGGACCCCCTGCTCGACCCTTTTTCCAAGCCACCGAAGCTCCTTGCTCCACAGGAGGCCAGGAGTGTGATGGACTACTTCATTTAAAAAACGTTATTAAAAAACAATTAGCTCAATGATGTGGGAGCATTAGGAGACAATGTATGAGAGACTAGATTTGCCTAGCATGAGAGCACCAACGGTTGGAACAGACTTAGTCACTTCATCAGAAGCCATAACACTGAAGGGTAAGGTGGGCGCCTACAGTGTCTCAAAGATATAATGGGTAAATACTGTAAATCTTACGAGTAAATAAATAACACTAATGAGTGTTATAATAGTCTTTAGGGCACATGCCAAAATGAATAAGACATCCATTACTTCAGCACAAGCACAAGGGCAAACGGCTAAGTTTGTAGAAGGTTAAGAAGATGCCACAGGTTACGGGCACTAAGGAAAACTCTTAATTGACTGGGAGATAAACATAAACTAAATTAGCACATT